ATGGCGGCCACATGGCTTCCTGCTGGAGAGCCACAGGGAGGTGGACGCTCGAGCACACTGCGAGCCAGATGTCCCCTTCTCCGTGGCAGAGGCGCCGAGTGCGCGGGCATCTGGGGAAGGGCTTCCCTTTAAGGAAGACATCTGCATGGAAATGGTAGCGCGTAATGCGAGGTGACAGTTGCTATGTCAACGCGTGTGTTTCCCCTCCCCTGAGACGATTGACGGGCGTGAAGCCCCACAGCCCTTGGGACGGACGTGTGTTTTGCTTTGGCGAAGATGGCCGTCACTGTGGTTTAACTGCTGGGTTTGGGGGAGGACTACATATTTCTTAGATTTGTAACGGGGCAGTGGCGGCTTGGACTCCAGGGGAGCGATGAGGAGGAGGGGGGCGGGGGGGGGGCAGCTGGGGAGGCAGCAGGGGACTTGAAGCCCCTTCTGTTGTGATTGAGGAAGTTGATCCTGGGCCAGTCCACGGACCACTCGCAGTTAGTGCGGGGAGATAAGACCTGTGCACGTGTGTGCATGCGTGTTCATGCTTGTGTGTACGCACACTGTGCTCACGCATGTGTGTTTGTGCACGTGTTTGTGCGTGTGTGTTTATCCGTGTGTGTGTGTGTGAGAGAGAGAGAGAGAGAGAGAGAGAGAGAGAGAGAGAGAGAGAGGACTCCCCCCTCCTTGGTTCCTGGGCTGGGATGGGGCATGGCCTTCCCTGTCTCTGCTCAGCTCCGGGCTGTGTATCAGCTGCCTGTGGCCTCCCTCCCCCAGTGTCGCCAGAGCCCAAACAGGGGGCCTCCCAGGGACGCTCCCCCAACACCCCTCAGCAGCACTGACTCCCCCTCTGGGTCCTCGTGACACTTGGGCTCCCAGCTCGATCCCGCACCTCCCGTGCCCCGCCCCGTATTGGAGGGCTGGTTAGGTCTCTCCTGTCCCGGGCTGCCAGCTCCCGGGGGCGAGGACGGGCGCCGGGGCAGCGCCGCACAGGCATTCGGGGTTGGACTCCGTGGCTCATGCCGCCTCCGGGCAGCCGGGCCCGGGGAGTTAGCCTGAAGGACCTCGCTGTCTTGACTCGTTCGGGGAGCCTTGGAGTGTCACGGAATGAACTCCATTCCTGACATGTGCTCTGTGGCCCGCATCACCTGTCACCCGGAGGGAGAAGGAAATTCAATTAGTTGAGCAAGGCTGACTTCCCTGACGAGGCGCACCCCGTGGATGGCTGTCACCACTGCACACGCCGCCAGCTGCAGGTGCCTGGGGTCCGGAGCCAGGGGACGCTGATCAGAATCGCATTTTCCCTTCAAAGCCATTTTCTGACTCTCTGATCTCGCTGGCCCCGGGTCGTAGCTGCCCTGGGCGGGGTCTGCAGCATGTCAGCCCAGATCCGCGCCCGTCCATGCCCAGCGGGCACGGCCTCTCTCCCAGGGCCGCGCTTTTCTGACCAGATGCTGCCACTCTCCAGAGGGCTGATTCTATTTTCCAAGAGCTGTCTTTTCTTTCTTTCTTTTTTAAAATAAATTCTTATTGATTTCAGAGAAGAAGAGAGAGAGAGATAGAAACATCCATGATGAGAGAGAATCATGGATCGGCTGCCCCCTGCATGCCCCCTACTCGGGATCGAGCCCACAACCCAGGTATGTGCCCTGATTGGGAATTGAACCGTGACCTCCTGGTTCATTGGTCCACACTCAGCCACTGAGCCACGCCAGTTTTGAGGGCAGTTTATTTTAGGCCTGTTCCTCGTTGTTACGTAGCAGCTTAAGATTCATTTTGAAAAAAGCAGTTCCGTCTCTTTGGTGACAACTTGTTTGACTAATGAATGCCCTGCCCCCCGCCGTGAAGCTTCCCAGGCATCACCCAGACACCGAGACCTAACAGCTTTCCTGTTTGAGGCCGTCTTAGTACATCCAACATCTGTGTGCCAGCGACACACTGTCAGTTAATCGGACGTCTCTTATTGATTCATCTTGTTAAGCAAGAAGAATAATCCTGGGGGCTTTATAAGGCTCCTGTGCGTTCCAGTAGGTGCCACTTTGAACATGAATTTCGTTGAATTAATAAGGCAGATGTCAAGCATTTAATTGGCCCTTCGCTCCCAGCCGGCTCCGTCAATCTGGGGACTATGGTCGGGGCTGATACAATTCGCCGATGACATGCCTCTGGCGTGTGGATTGGATGCCGCGGGTCTTCGGAGAGGAGGGGCTGGCTGGGCGGAGTTATGGTTAATAACGGGCTAATGCCACTGTGGCCTGGGCTTCACCGAGAGAAACAGGGAAGACCGTGGCGGCGGCTTACCCGGATGGCCCACATTTCCCTCCAGGTCGTGAGCTTGGTATTGAATGGTGACGGCTTTTGTTTTCTCCTCCATGCTGCCATTTTCCTCCCAGTCTTCAGCTGACAGAGTTTGACTGAGAAGATGTATCTTTTTATTTTGTGGCTTCTGGACCCCCTGGACTCAGACACCTGGCTTGAGAAGCAGGTATAAAAATGGCAGTAAGCCCGGTCGGCGTGGCTCAGTGGTTGAGTGTTGACCTATGAACCTGGAGGTCACAGTTCGATTCCCGGTCAGGGCACATGCCCAGGTTGCGGGCTCGATCCCCCAGTAGGGGGCGTGCAGGCGGCAGCTGATCAATGATTCTCTCTCATCATTGATGTTTCTGTCTCTCTCCATCTTTCTTCCTCTCTGAAATCAATAAAAATATATTTAAGAAAATAAAAATGGCAGTATAAGGGGTATAGGGAAAATACCACAGGAGAAATAAACGGTGGTACATCCATTCAATGGCATAGGATTCAGCACTGAAAAAGAATGTTGAGAATCCAGGCATGAAAAGACACGGGGGAACCATAGATGCTACCAGGCATAACCTTTCCCTTGCATGGCAACGGCGGCTGCATGCTGCCAACACCGCCTCTGGTGACCAGCTGGCTGGGTGCGTGTCATCACCTCCTTTTGGCTTTCTCTCTAGTCGTGGCTGTTTACCTAAAGGACTCCTGGTGGGCCACCGAAGACGTCCTGAGGACCTCCAACCCTGCAAGAGAAGGCCTGATGAAGGTGAGGTGCTGCCATTTAGAATGGATATTGCAGAAGGTTTTAAGAGTCATCAAGCTGTTGCCATGTAAAATCCCCCGTCCCTTTAATTACATTTTGTTTCTTAGCGAGCTCTTCTTCACCAGTTACCAAAAAAAAAGCTTGCTTAATGTTCTTTCTGTTAACATAAATAGTGGCCCTAATTTAGGGATTAGAACAGGTCTTATTTTTGTGTTTCCAGAAACGTTTCTAAGTCAGCATCTCATTCCCCACATTATTCACCCCCGTCAGGAACCTGCACAGATTAAGTGCCTTTTCTTTCTCTCCTCTTCTGCTGCCAGCTTTTGACTGGATGTTTCCCTTAAGTTGACAATTATAACCTTCCACATCACACCGACCGGGTGTTGTGACAGGGTCGTTATGCTTAACTCTGAACTTGATTTGGCTGTTGCTGTCTGAGACACCGAATTGGGGTGGCTTCTCAGAATTAGCTGGTGTGGCCCGGCCAGTGTGGCTCAGTGGTTGAGCATCGACCCAGGAACCAGGAGGTGGCCGGTTCGATTGCTGGTCAGGGCACTTGCCCGGGTTGCGGGCTCGATCCCCGGTAGGGAGCCTGCAGGAGGCAGCCGATCCAGGATGCTCTTCTGATCAATGTTTCTATCTCTCTGTCCTTCTCCCTTCTTCTCTCTCTAAAAATCAATTTTAAAAAACATATTTTAAAAAAAAGAATTAGCTGGTGAGGTTTTCACAAATCTTTTTCTCATCTAAGATTTGGCTCCAGATAAAGGTGAAATATTTCACATTCTGGGCCAATTAATAAGTTTACTGGCTCTGCACACTGTGTACCATTTGCTGGGATTCTGCAAGCTGCCTTCTTTTTATTAGCAGAGCTGTTGAAAAGCAGACTAATGTTTCAGACGCCACTTAGGTGGTCTTTTCCGTAGACCAACCGAGGAAACTGATGTCAGAGAGGTTGAAGTTGCAAATGTGGACCAAGAAGCCACAACCACAGATGATGATCATGATCATGATGGTGAAGAAAATGTAAGGGCCAAGTATTAAATATAAAATGCAGCCCTGCCAGTGTGATTCAGGGCTTGACCATCAACTTATGAACCAGGAGATCACGGTTTGATTCCCGGTCAGGGCACATGCCTGCATTGCAGGGGGCAGTCTATCGATAATTCTCTCTCATCATCAATGTGTCTATCTCTCTCCCCCTCTCCCTTCCTCTCTGAGATCAATAAAAACATCTATTTAAAACAAAAAAACCAACATTACCATTTGTATGAAGCTCCCCTTTCCCAGAGCCTCAGTTCTAATGGATGACGGCCAGGAGGCAGCCGCTGGCCGGCTCAGCAGCTGCACCGGCCCAGCCTGTCCCTGGGCCTGCCTGTCCCTGCAGAGTCCCCATCCGGTTGCCATCAGCCCTCTTGGCAATGAAGCAGGAAATTAGTGAGTGTGTCACCTACCCTCTCTGAGCTTCAAGTTCCTCACCTGCAAAGCGGGACCACCCGGCAGGTGGTGAGGACCGGATGGCAGCAGGCGGGGCCGACTGGTGTGAAGGTCACGGGTGTGAAACCTCCGTGAGAAACGATGCACATCTCGGCCTCGTGCATGAGAAGGATCACGGTGGGCGGATGCCGAGCGCAGGATCCACCGCCTCTGCTGTTCCCTCCGCCTCACTGCTCGCTCTGCTTTCCTTCGAAGGTCCAGTCATTCGGGGAGAGGATTGTGCTCTTCGTCCTCAACGTCGTTATCTTTGGGCGGCTGGAGAGGAGCTTGGATGACGACGCCATGTTCTTTTTGCCTCACTCTGGGAAAGAGCAGGCTAAAATCTTGTGGCGGGACGGAGCCGCGGTCGGATTTTACACAACCAAAGCGAAAGGCGAGTAGCCGGGCCGGGCCGGGCCATCCGGGCTCCCTGGCCAGCGGCCGTGGGTCCGAAAGGTTGGCGACCGCTGCTCTGGGTGGCCTCCTGCCCCCGTGGGCCCCCAGCACAGGCCTTGCTGGGGGAGAATCTCCGGGTACAGCAGGTACCACTCACTCAGCTGTCATGTAAACGAACCCAAGGTTCAGCCCTCATTCTCACCCGCTTCTCCTCGTGCTGGAGGTGGGCTGAAGCCTGTCCCTTTGGTTCCCAGCCTGGGCCACGTTGCGGTTAATGGTGTAAAATCCTTGTTGCAGTTAATGGTGTAAAGTGACTTTGCAAGCACTTTGCTTTTCATTTCGTCTCTTGAATGTTACCATTAGCTGTCAGGACAGTACCATTGCTGGTGGCTCACGTGCTGAGTATAAAGCTTTGTATAAAAATCTAAAAGGAACAACTTCACATTTCAGGTTCCTGACAGCCCAGCGCTAATGCTAGAGCAGCCCTGGGAAGCATTCAGTTAGGTGATTGGCAGCCCAGACAAGCATGTGACCTGGGACATGGCAGGGATGCTTGCAAGTGGCCCAGGGCCTCCTGTTCGCCCCTCCCCCAGACACCCAGGGCCACGGGCGCCTCCTGTCCGATTGTCCGTCAGGCAGGGACCCTCATGCATCTGGCCTTTAGCAGAAACATAAGCAGCAAACAGTGCAGAGGCCAGAGAGCGGTGTTGTTCACGTTCCAGCTCCACCACCCGGTGAGAGAGGGATTGCTGTTCCCTGACCAAGGGCTTGCAAGACGGGGTAGAGGAAGGGTGCAGGGGATTCCTGGGGTGCAGCCGGCTTCTCACGCTGGGCGGGCGCCCAGCACCTGCTCCATTGCCACCTCTGCAGACCAGCTTCCCTCACTCCCTGTGTTCCCTGCTTCCTTCTAGCCTCAGCTTTAGTTTGCCATGCTGCCCACCTGGCCTCCAACTGTACTTGCCTTAAAGGGGCAGGACCTCCCATAGTCCTGTTTCCTCTTCATTCATCTCCTGAAAGAATGAGATGCTTAAGTGCATCTTTTAAGTACAGTTTTAATACAACTCATTGTATTCTTTTAAAGTCAGTGTTACAGCCCGTAGAAGCTGCCGATGTGCGTGTGCCATTCAGGGACTTAGCTAATGTAGAGAGTGTCGCCAGCACCCCACGAAGTGCCTGTGTGGGGCCAGTGGCTGCTTCCACCCCGCTCTAGGCACCCGCCGACCTGCTCTGTCCCCATCACTGTGCCGTTCCTGGACATTTCGCAGACAGGGACGGACGCGCCCTGCGGCTTCTTTCTGACATCTGGCCCCTCTCACTCAGCGTGGTGCTTCTGAGGCTTATCCCAACGGTAGCAGAGATGAGTATGTCATTCCTTTTCATTGCTGAGTAACGTGCCGCGCTGTCAATGTGCCCCGTTTTGTTTGTGCACTTACCGGAACGGTTTCCAGGTTGGGGCCGTTATGAATAAGGCTGCTGGAAGCGTTCGCGTACCTGCCTTTGCGTGGGTGTGGGCTTTCATTTCTTTTGGATGGGTTCCTGGAAGTGGAAGGGCTGGGTCGTTTGCTAAGCCTAAGTTTAACTTTTTAAGAAACTGCCGAATTATTTGACACAGTGGCTGTAACATTATATATTCCCATCAGCAGTATATGAGGGTTCATTTCTCCACATCCTGTCAACACTAAGTACTGCATGTCTTTTGGATTATGGCCATTCTAGTAGGTGAAAAGTTCTGTTTCACTATGTGTTTTTAAAAATATATTTTTATTGATTTCAGAGAGGAAGGGAGAGGGGGAGAGAGAGACATCAATGATGAGAGAGAATCATTGATCGGCTGCCTCCTGCACGCTCCCCACTAGGGATCAAGCCAGGAACCCGGGCATGTGCCCCGACTGGGAATCAAACAGTGACCTCCTGGTTCATAAGACGACGCTCAACCACTGAGCCACGCCAACCAGGCTTACTGTGGCTTTAATTTGCATTTTCCTAGTGACTAAGGATATTGAGTATGTTTCCAGTGATTGAAGACATGTTTGTTCAGATCACCTGTCCATTTTTTATTGGTGGCTTGTTTTCATTTTATTGAATTGTAGGAGTTCTTTATATCTTCTGGATATGTCTTTTTATCAGGAATGTGATTTGCAAACATTTTCTTACAGTCTGTGGCTAGTCTTTTCATTTTCTCAGTGGTGTTTTCTGAAGTACGTGGTGTTTTATTTTGGTGAAGTCCGATTGACCCATTGTTTGTGGTTTGGTGTTGAATCTAGGAGCTGTTTGCTAACCCTAGGCTAGGTTTTGAAGCGTTTTGTTTTTGTTTTTTTAAATATATTCTATCAAACCAGTTAGGGCATGAAGTGTTTTTTTTTTTTCTAAAACTTTTTTGTTTTAACCTTTACATTTATGTCTAGATCCATCTTCAATTAATTTTTGTATATGGTGTGAGGTAAGGGTCCAACTTCATTTTTAAAATACTGACTATAGTCCTGGCCAGTGTTGCTCAGTGGTTAGAGCATCGGCCCGCACACCAAACGGTCTTGGGTTTGATTCCAGACCAAGGGCAGGTACCTGGGTTGCAGGTTCGATCCCGGCCCAGGTTGACCGTCAATGTGTCAATGTGTCTCTCTCATCGTCGCTTCTCTCTCCTTGGGTCTCCCCTTCCCTTCCACTCTTTCTAAGACTCAATGCAGAAAACACCCTCAGGCGAGGATTAACAAAAACTAAAACAACATGCTGACCAGTCCGTCGGCAGGAGGACTGGCGGACGGGGAGAGATGTCGTTTTGTCTTTGGTGGCTAGTGTGTGAAGATGGTGCCCGCGGCGTCCTGGCAGGTTGGTACAGGCCCAGGGGACAGCGTGTCTCTTGACTTCCCCTGCAGGCAGCCTGTGCGGCGATGGCACCGGCTCGTGCTACCTGCTGCCCGTCCTGGACACCGTGTTTGTCCGGAGGCGACACCGTGGCCAGGGCCTGGGCGTGGCCATGCTGCGGGACTTCTGCGAGACGTTCCCAGACGACGAGGCCCTAGGGGTCAGTTGGCCGATTTCTCCCGCCATGTACCAAGGTAACCACACCTGTGTCAGGGAGAAGCGTTTGGTCAGGGGGAGGGATACCCGTGCATCCAGGTGACACATATGGAGGACCTCTTTCTTCTGAGAAACCTCTCATGGCTTGAGCACAAACGAGCCTTTATCACAAGAGCCGGACCTTGCCCAGCCTGGGAAATCATTGGGTTTAGATGTAATAAAAACAGCCTGGCCAGTATGCTCAGTGGTTGAGTGTTGACCTATGACCAGGAGGTCACGGTTCAATTCCCAGATTGCAGGCTCGACCCCAGTAAGGGAAGTGCAGGAGGTGGCCAATCTATGATTCTCTCTCATCATGGATGTTTCTATCTCCCCCTCCCTCCCCCTTCCTCTCTGAACGCAATAAAAAAAAAACATATCTCAAAAAACAAAACAAAACAAAAAACAAATTCACACCAGGTCAGAGAGCCGCAGAACCCAGCGATCTGCTGCTGGCCCCGCCTGCCTTTGCTCCTCGCCTGGCTGCAGGGTGCCCGGGGCTGGCGGGGAGGCAGCGGCTGGCGGGCAGAGGCCGTGCCCGTTCTTGGGGGCAGGCAGCGTGCGGGGAGAGAAGCGGCTGCAGGCTGAGGCCAGGCCGGCTGCCCTTGGACTGGACAAGGGGCGCCTCGGGCCCAGGTTTCCGTCTGTGCTGCTGGCCGGCAATGCCAGGAGAGGGCCCGGTGGAGGCTCCCGGGCCCCGGGGGGACCAGGACCAGGTTCCCCTTCGGCTGCATGTGGGACATGGCAGGCGACAGTGCTCACCTGGGAGCGTGGGCATAAAAGCCCAGCCTGAGGGCACAGGGACTCGAGGCGTCCACAGAGGATGAGCTGGAAGACGCTGAGAAGAGGAGGCCCATGAGGCCCAGGAGGGAGGAGGGACAGTGCTGAGGTGGGTGAGGCTAGGGGGTGAATTTGGAACCCCCAGTTCTCATGTTGAAGCCCTAACCCCAATGGTTGTATGTGACGATGGGATCTTTAAAGGGGTGATGAAGGGCCCTGATCCAGTAGGACTGGTGAGAAGGGGTCCCATAAGGACGACGCAGATGGGAAGGCCAGGTGAGGGCCGGTGAGAAGGTGGCTGCCCGCCGAGGAGAGAGGCAGCCCTGCGACACCTTGATCTTGGCCTTGCAGGCTCCAGAGTTGAGCCAGTAAGTGTCCTGGTTAAGCCCCCGTCCGTCCGTGGCGTTGTGCTGTGGCTTCCTGAGCTGATGCAGAGGGGATGGACCAAGGGCCAGGACGGGTGGGGGAGGGCTGCGTGGAGCATGGGGCGGGGCAGAGCGCCGGGCGGCCTGGGCTGCAGGAAGGACTGGAAGGGGCCATTCCTGCGGACTCCAGGCTGGGCTGGCCTGTGTGCGGGGCAGGCGCCTCCCCCTGCCCCCCACCCTCACGAGGCCCCTTTCCTCAGTCTGTAGGAAGTTCCTGCTGGCCCACCCGGAGGAGCAGGCGCGCCTGTGGGAGGTGGAGCCCCCGGGAGCCTGGGGCCAGCGAGGCAGCATCTGGCTGAAGGTTCAGCTCCAACAGGCGGGGCTCCCGGCCCCAGAGTCGGCGTGAAGCGTGCACTTGGATCTCCTCATCCTCACGTCACTGCCGCAGCACAGATCCCTTTACACAGATGGAGTCAGGCCCGCGGGGGACGCAGCATCTCGTCCTCCCTCCACCTTCCCTTCCTGAGCGAACCACAGCGGCCAGCCCCCTGCCCAAGAAGAGCGGGCACCCTGCTCAGCTGGCTCCGAAGCTCCTGTGACCAAGGGCCCCTTTGAGCAATTGAGCGGATCAGTGCAACCAGGAAGAAGGTGGATTTCCTTGTCCAGCAGGAGATCAATTGGAAACATTATTTCAAAAGACACACAGGGTTTCCTGTGAAGAGCTGGCCCTTGTCCTTGGGGAGAAGAAGAAAAAGGGGTTGGCTCCGCCGGCGCAGCTCACTGGTTGAGCTTCGACCTATGAACCAGAGGGTCACGGTTCGATTCTGGTTAAGGCACATGCCCAGGTTGTGGGCTCCATCCCCAGTAGGGGGCGTGCAGGAGGCAGCTGATCCATGATTCTCTCTTATCATTGATGTTTCTCTCCCTGCCTCTCCCTTCCTCTCTGAAATCAATAAAAATATATATTTAAAATAAACATGCAAATGAGTAGCTGGGTCTTTCTATGGGCAGTGGCATGGTGTGATGTCCTATGAGATGTCCTTGTCTACTCGGGCAGCCCCGTTACAGGCTCGCGCACTGCCTTCATTTTGGGGTGTTGCCATGGAGTTTGCCGGTGGGGTTTCAATGGCGGGTATTTGCCTGGTGGGTCCCACGGGGAGGCGGGTGGGGATGGGAAGACCTTTATGTAGCCAGAGGGCAGCGCAGGGCAGCGGACACGCCAACTGTGGGTCTCCACGTTGCTTTTTGCCACCTTGCAGGCTGCTACCGGCTCAGCCCTGAAGGGGAGGGCCTGGGGCAGGGCTGGATGGTGCGGGCGCCCCTCCTCTCGTGCTGCAGGTGTGGGGGTGCCAGGAGACCACGTGAAAGCATTGGCGCTCCTTCCTCTTGGTGTCCGTGCCCGTCAGCGTCAAAGCCACCCCGAGGCTGCGGGGAGCTCATTAGAGGGCCGTGGGCAGCTGATTATCCAGCCGGTGACAGGAAGAGTGCCCTGGAGTTTATTGGCGATAATAGTGATCATTTTGGCTTTCACGGTGCCTTTCAGCGCGAAGGCTTAATGGATCTTTACAGGCATGAATGGGGTAACCAGGCACCTGGGAAGGAGGCCATGGCAGGCCGTGGCTGTGATCCTAATGAGGCGGCTAAGTGACGTGCCCTGTGGCCTCCTGGAGCCCCTGGCCGCCCGCGGGCTTGTGGGCGGTTTCACAAATGAGCCCGCAGCCCTGCCAGGCCGTGTGCCTTGGAGGTTGCAGTTGCTGGGCTGGGGATGGAAGTGACTAATGGCTCGCACGTCAGGATGCAGAAGCAGCGTGGACCCCGCAGGCCGGAGGGGTGCACAGGGCGAGGACGTGTCTGCATAATTGGGGAGATGGCGTTCTCTCAGGAGAATTGCACGGTGTGTGTGGGGGGGGGGTGGGGGGGGCGCTGTTATTTGTTATTTCAGGAGCCGAGAGTTGGCCCGGTCTGGTCAGGGCAAACCTAGCTGAAGCCAGACGCCAGAGCTGCCACTTTCAGTCAGGCTGAGGTTCGCCAACTCTCTCTTTAAATCCGCAAATGAGGGGACTCTGACAGAGAATGTTCCAGAAGCACGCGCGAGCCCCTTGGAGAAAGAAGGGGCGTCATTATAATTAGGGTGTAATTAGATTATGGAAGCTCTCGCATTAAAAAGATTGGTAAGGTATGGTCTTTCGCTGCCTGTGAAGTCAGCGCTGGTTCCCAGCCTCCCCCCCTCCCCCCAGCTCTGTCTCCCGGAACCACCAGGCCACCTAATGTGGCTTTAGTTTTTAACCAGCCACTTATTATTTGAGTTGCTTTCTTGACTTGTTCTGGTCTTTGGGCTCTATCCTTTGTCCCTTTATTCCTGAGCTTGATTTTGGAGGTTTCCTACCATGTCCTGTGCCTTAGAAATGAGCAGGAAACCAGTGGAGCCAATAGCTTTTTATTTTATTTTATTTTATTTTATTTTATTTTATTTTATTTTATTTTATTTTAGAGAGTGTGGAGGGGAGGGAGGAGAGAAGCATCAGTGCGGGAGACACACATCGATTGGTTGCCTCCCACACATGCCCTTGACCCGCACGCCCCAACCGGTGCCGGGGATCGAGCCTGCAACCCAGGTATGTGCCCGGAATCAAACCCGAGACCCTTTGGTCCGTGGGCCGACGCTCTAACCACTGAGACAAACCAGCCAGGGCCGATAGCTTGTCTGTGGAAGTAAGGCATGGCCATGCCTCGGCGTTCCAGAGGGAAACCGTCTTCCCTCCAAATGCCCTAAACTCTGTTTCTGAAGGAGCGTCATTCGTGGACTGGGGCTTTTAAAGTTTGCACGATCCGCCTCTGATAACATCTGGGGCTTATCATGGTCCTGGAAATATTTATGGGGTTATTCTGATCTTTGGAGAGGAGTTTGTGGGGAATGTTTTTCTCACTGCACTCGGTTGCATACGAAGCCTTTGGAACTGGACCAATAGGACCATAACTCTCCCGGCTGTGACTCCCCGGCTAGCTGGCACATGCCGGAGGCTTCTTTACTCGGGGAGATGGAATTGAATGTGTCAACAGTTCTTTTACAGAAACGTTGCTGGAGGCAGAAGATAATTGCACCCAGCTTTAAAAATTAATGTTTTCATTCTTGAGCTTACAGTTTTGCTTTTTTTCCAGGTGAATTTTTAATAGATTCGATTGTCATCCACAGGGGAAATATTTTTCTTCTATTTATGTGGAATTTTTAAAGCTGGGGGGAGTGTATAAAGGACACGTGAACTGCCTGAGCTGGGGGGTGGGGGCATTTTCTTGATCTTGTCCCAGCTTGTCCCGGGGAGCTGGCTGTTACACAGTGCAGCGGCAATAGCGATGTAAGTGCAGCGAGCTCTGCTGGCAGAGCGGAGAGCAGAGCAGAACCTCCATGCTAGATGGATTTTCTGGTCTCATGCTGCTCTTTGAAAGGGTCTGCCTCCCCCTCGTGGCCATTGTAGCCTACTGCGTCCTGGACCTGTTTGGTTGCTTCTCAAGATTCTTATCCTTGAGTTCCAATTTGTGCATTCATTTTTAAAAAACCAAAACTTAGCCAAAACCGGTTTGGCTCGGTGGATAGAGCGTCGGCCTGCAGACTGAAGGGTCCCGGATTCGATTCCGGTCAAGGGCATGTACCTGGGTTGCGGGCACATCCCCAGTAGATGTGCAGGAGGCGGCTGATTGATGTTTCTCTCTCATCGATGTTTCTAACTCTATCTCTCTCCCTTCCTCTCTGTGAAAAATCAATAAAATATATTTTAAAAAAACCAAAAAACTAAAACTTATTGAACTTTCACTGGTGAGGAATAAAATACACGTGAGCATTTAATAGCAACTAATATACTCCAGTCCGTAACACATAAGAAGAACTTCATACATCAGGAAAGGTAGAAGTGATAACAGATTATCTCCTTCATTCACTCATAGACTTGCTCATTCGTTCCATGGATTGCTGTTACTGGAGCATCTTCCGACACCAGGCGTTGTCTGTGGGGATGGGGATGCAGAGTAAGGCGGGCAGCCTCTGAACTCATTGATGAGCTTGTGCATTTGTGAAGAAAATTACACGGGCAGCTCCTACTGCATCACAAACATTGAGAGGCCCGGCCAAAGGGCTCAGCGGTTGAGCTTCGACCTGTGAACCAGGTCAAGGTTGAATTCCCAGTCAGGGCACATGCCCAGGTTGCAGGCTCGATCCCCAGTAGGGGGCGTGCAGGAGGCAGCCGATCAATGATTCTCTCTCACCAATTGATGTTTCTTCTTTTTTTCCTCTCTGAAATCAATATATATGGATATATAGATATGAAGGGAAGGAAGGAAATTGACACAACATGGGTTTACTTTAAGGACATTATGCTAAGTGAAATAAATAAGCCAGTCAACAGAAAGCTACTCTTGTAGGATTCTACATACATGAGGTATCTAGTCAAATTCAGAGACAGAAAGTAGGAGGTGGTTGCCAGGGGCTGGAGGGAGGGGAGAGTGGGGAGTGTTAGTTTAACGATAGTTTCAGTTCTGTGGGATGAAACAGTTCTGGGAGTGTGAATGCACTTAATGCTACTGAACTGGACACTGAGAAATGGTTCATGCTACATTGTATGTTGTATATTTTATAAGTAAAACTTGTGCTCTTTAATGGGGCAGTTATAAATGCTTCAGGTATGTATACGGTATAAATTCCATAGCTCTCATGTTCTTACCACCACCTCCCAAACATCGTCGTGAAAGCCGCCCACCGTGAGGGCCAAAGCTCCCAGCAAGACTGGGCGTCCCAGCACCCCCCCACCCCCATCCCTCCGTAAGCCGCCTCCCCCTCCCCCCACTCGAGGAGTCACAAAAAGGAAACTTCACCCGCTTTTCCAGTTGAGGTTTATTCCAGAGCAGTGCTGCAGCCATGCTGACTCAGAACCCAGTCCATTTCTAGAACACCAGTAACAGCTTCCTCTCCCTCCACCCACAGGCAGAGGAACAGCTACTGCCCAGCTGTGCGTCTAGACTTTTGAGGAATCCAGAACACAGTGCTGGAGCCGGGCCAGTTGTGTCCATGACTCAGCCACTCCCTGCACTGCAGACGGAAAGGAAACGGTGACGGATTGCCCTGCAGCCCGGGTCACAGTACTGTGGCTGTGGGTCTCCCTCCTGGCCCTGCGGCTCTGCTCAGACCCACACGAGCAGCCACCGTCAGCTCCGCACACAGCAGAGGGACGCAGATGACACTCGGGTCACCCGGCCGTGAGAGCGGCGAGAACCCTGAACCTCCACGTGATGTCCTCACCACGGAGGGTCCTGCCCCACCTGCTGGAGCAGCCAAGCGAGGACAGTTAACCCTGAGCCGGGCCAAAGTCCTGCCACTGGGGGCGTCACCCTGAAGAGGCCGAAACGGATCCTTCAGGGAAAACAGCAGCTCACGTGGACCAGGGCTGTGTGTGCCGGCACCATGCTGCGTGCGGGCATTCCGTCCTCATAACCCTCAGGTAGGTCGTCCCGTTGTCCCCATGTGACAGGCTCCAGAGTGAAGCCATCAGCTGCCTAAGGTCTCAAAGCTACGAAGTGACAGGGACAAGCAACGTAGGGGCTCAAAGGTCTGTATGACCTGAGCTTTCAGTGACCCCAGTGCCCCAAATCGCCCCTTAGTGAACAAGGAAACGGGTGGGGGGTGAAATTTGGGGAAAACCCAGCCACCGCGGTGATTGCCAACCAAAGTGCCTGAAGGAGGGCGGGCTCCCTCACCACTGCCGGAGCCCCAGCCCCATGGACAGGCACCTCACTCCTCCCGGGGACGGGAAGTGACAGCCGGGGACAGTCCCTTGGCACAGACCCTGCTCCCACGGGCCTGTAGCTGGTCCACGTGACATTCATGGCGTCTATAAA